CCAAATTAAGAGGTGAGACAAAGCCTCCAGTAAAGAAACATGTTCCTATGATAGTCTCTCTAGGGGTGGGAAGTCTTAATTTACTGTTATGTCTTCAGAACAGAAGTGAAAGGAAATTTCCCAACGGGACATAGGCAAGAAAAAAAAACCTGATTGGGATTTCAACCCTTGCTTAGTCTGTCTGAGACTAAATGTGCACGTACAGGCAAAATGTTTTCTTTCGGTTTTACATAGTTACATAGTTGGTAAGGTTTACAAAAGACATCAGTCCATCCAGTTCAACCTATGTGGGTGTGTGCTCATGTCAAAAACTCATATTCACATCCCTGTATATTGTGTTCACTAAGATGCCCATCCAAGAGTTTTTTTTTTCAAACTATCAATACTTCCCGCTGACACCACCGATTGTGGAAGTGAGTTCCACATCCTTACTGCCCTGAAAGTGAAAAAAACTCTACGCAGTTTAAGGCTAAACTGCTTCTCCTCCAATTTCATTGAGTCACCCCGTGTATTCTTATACTCCCTGAGACAGAATAGTTTATTCCTAATGCTAGAATCACCACTGAGGTATTTGTATATTGCTATCATATCTCATCTGAAGCATCTCTTCTCCAGGGAGAATAAGTTTAATGTTTGTAGTTGTTCCTCAGAACTGAGGTCCCCAGGCCCCTTATTAAACTTGTTGCCCTTCTCTGGGCTCTCTCCAGTTCTAGCGCATCCTTTCTGAGGACTGGTGACCAGAACTGGATGGCTTACTCCAGATGTGTCTGAACCAGAGTTTTGTAAAGTGGCAGAATTATTGTTTTATTTCTTGAGTAAATACCCTTTTTTATGCATGCTAAAATTCTACCTAGCTTTGCTTGCTGCCATTGCTTGGCTTGCATGCCATTGCTGAGAGTATCATCCAATATGACCCCCAGATCTTTTTCCATCCTGGATTTCCCCAGAGAATCTTCCCTAGCGAGTAACTAGCATTTGTATTATTGTTATTGTTTTGGATAGAGCAGGAGAGGCTCAAAGCCCTTGTCGGGGTCAACTGCATATTGTCTACTGGGTGCTCACCCTATTTGTTTTGGTGACCATTGTCAGAGAGACAGCAAGTGATAGAAATTCCAAACTTTCACAGTTGTCCTGGAACAAGAGGTGGGGGGAAAACTGTTCCAGTGACAACTGTCTCTTTGTAGAGATTTCTACAAAGTGAAATCTCTCCAGAGGTTTACACAGACAAGAGTTCCTTCCTTCTCTACCCTACCAAAACTAAGAAATAAACAATCTGGCCATGTATAAAACCTTAAATTAGGTCCAGATGTTATGCATTTTAAGTTTAGCAAGCTCCATGACTCTCATTGTTTGTTTGCCAAGCACAATGTCCAATTTGCCCATATATGTGCATTAAGATCTTATGATGCAATTCCAGCCTCGATCTGGGCTGTATGGATTCATAATGTACATGACTCTCAGCACATGGACAAATCTGCATACATATATTCAGGCACTTTAAAAACTGATGATTAAATTAAAAAGATGAGAAAAAACAGTAAAGAGAGGAAGTGACAAGAAGGCTCCCTCAACAATAAACACCTGACAAAGGATCCACCCTTCTTCATTCTTCTAGGCCTTGCTGTCTTTGCTCTCACTGGGGAGTTTCCCTTCACCCCTGGTTCTGTGTAACACTGATCAGGAAATAGGGAGATTATATTCTTACTCCTAGCTTTGTCTGGCATTCGGCCAGGGACAGAGACATTAATAAAAAGTTGACATATCTAACGCTTTCGAGAAGTAAAGAAAAAATGTTTGGTCAGGAGTTGGGAGAAGATAAGACTAAGTTTGACGTTTCAGGAAAAGTAAAGATGTGTATATATATTCAACTGCTTATTTCTCTGGATCAACCGATCAGTTTGACATGGCATATTTGCTGAAGGAAACCCCTGTTTCCAGTCTGAATTGCTAAGAAAAGGTGACAGATTTTCTTTAAATGTGTCAGTTTTGTTTTCACTGCCAGTTAGCACTGCAAAAAAATAGATTTTGTATAAAGTATACAATACAATTGGCTAAAGAAAAAGCCATATTTCACATGTGCCAATGTGTCCTTATATTAACCTAGACATTACCAGAGCAAGAGGCGAGAAAAAATCCTCCAAGAAAGACACCCGTAGCAACTCTCTAGGATTGGAATTCCCCTTACTTTATTGAGATTTCCTCTTATTTCCTGTTCTGCATCCAAGACACAAAGCACAGGCAGCAACAAAATTTGTGATGGGGGCTTTCAACTCTTCCCTACTCTGTCTGACATCAAATGCGCATGAATAGCCAAAACCTATTTCTCAGTTTTTGAATCGTGTAGGAAAGGGTCAAAACCCCTGTCAGGATTTTACTTCTGCTTGTGTCTGTAGATGTTTACCTTTTTGTCTTGTGCCAAATTATACTCCATTCTGTAGAATATTACTTATTTTTTACTTTCAAGCGTTTTTTTAAGGATTTTTTTGTGCCATGGGGCTTTAGTGGTGGTTTTGATCTAGCATTTCTTATTAAATTATCAATGTATTATTATTAATTGAAATACGTGAAATTAAAATTTGTGTCAAAGAGCAGGCATCACAAAGCTGCCTACATAGGGAGCAATAGTTTGGTTATAGACCCTTCTTTGCCAATCTTTGTGGAGTACTATTAAAAAAGATCATAAGGGATGGATTGTCCCGGCCAAGTAGTCTATTCATTTACAGATCTCTGTGAATGAAAGACGTGGCTGGATGAGCAGATTTTACATCTGACAGCTGCTGCAGAGGAGAGAAGAACTACCACATGCTGTCAGGGTGGGGAAGGGGGCCTTTTGGAGATAGTAGGATCCACTTGTGAAACCCGTAACACAAACTCTACTGTGTTGCATGTTACACCCTAAATATAGCCTTTAAGTCTGAAAACCTTATTTTTCTCCTTTGTGTTTTCCTTGTTTCACTATGGAGTTTGTGTTACTGGTTTCACTTTAGGGTTTGGGACATAGCCATGTCTCCTCCACTAAACCATTTGGATAGGGGTGCATGGCTGGTGCTTAGTCCCAGAATGGTTAGCACTCTTGCCTTGAAGCCCTGGGTCCTGGGCCTGAATCCCACCAAGCATGTTATCTGCATAAAATGTTTGCTCACAAACCAACACCATAATGGTTGGTTCATTTGTCCTCTCTCACATGGGGCCAATAGTGTGTGTGTGAGTGTGGTACAAACATTAGATTGTGAGCTTCTATGGGGGACAGTAATGTTTTGCATCAGAAATAATTTAAATAAGTTTAAAGTTCATATTTTATTAAAGTCCTGCTGAACATTCAATTTAAATCAGTTAATCATATTCTGGGTGCATTAGCACAAAGAGTGTGCAGGGTACTCAAATTAGTTTTCATTAGAAAGCAGCTACATCCTGACTAAAAAAGCTTTTCCCTGCTAGCATGATGTAGCGAAGGACCCAAAAAGCAGCAGTCAGACTGCACATCCCTTGCTAAATTAGAGCTATGGCTCTCTAACCAGAAGGGAGCATGAGGTTTGTTTGACTGCAGAGCTACAGTTCTGACTCAGCAGTGTGTTGGACCCCTGCAGAAAGACCACTGCTTCCATAAAGAGAACAAGGGACCATCTGTTCAACATGCTAGCAGGGGGCAAGCTTTGGTAAGGCCTTGGGTGCTTTTTAAAGTAAATAAACAGTAAGATTTTGAACACCTTCTGTTTCAATGCACCTGGAATGTATTTGATAGATTTAAACTAAAAGTTATTTTGGGCTTGAACAGAATGAAACTTGCACCATACAGAAGCACAAAAGTGTATTTTCTGTTCAGCAGCTATGGCATTGGACATTTTATGGTACCTTCTCTTTGGCAGTGCTTTTAGTTTTAGCTAAAATGCCTGATAAATTTGCTTTAATTAAACAAAATGTACAAATGCAAAACCAATTAGAAATCATCTTGTAATGATGAAATATTCATTCTGGGTCTCTGCACTTTTAACATCCTATTAGCTCATTGTACTGAATAATGAATAATCTATATTGTTTTAACTTATATTTCACTTACCCATCCAGTCCATGATGTTGTCACAGTACGGTATCTACTATCTCTTTATTTATATCTTCATAGTTTCTAAAAAATAAACATTTAAGGAAAAAATGACCACACTGTGCAAAGCACCTAATTGTTTACTATGCTGACTACATGCTTATTATACATTAATGTGGCAGGCAATGCACCAAGATGATCTCCTGATCTATTTTCGTGTCTTGTGCTCTCTCAACCATATTAATGTATACTAAACATGTGATCACCATAGAAACAAAATCTTAGGGCTTAGAATTATACATACATGTTTATTTACATTTTCATTATTTTGTACCCATACACATGTTCACTTAAATACAAATTTCAAACTATGAAGTCTTATAATTAGGAAATATATTATCATGGACAAAGCCTGGAGAACCAGCTTTCACAAACTACAAACAGTTTTTTTCAAAGGTCAATGGATAGTTTCATTTCTCACTCTTTTGTAATTGATACATGATTATAACAAGATAAAGGGAACGTGATGTTCCTATTATTGTGATACTGATGTGGCTTTTACATATTACATGCTTTCTTTTTTATATCTTAATTATTACTTTAAATATAAAAAAATGTAGATTGGCCACTAGACTTTTGCAATCACCCAGCCTCCTTGGCATAGTGTAGCACTGCAAAGCTCTATGCATACTCTATGCATACTCAATCACATATATACTATGTATACTGTGTATATATATATATATATATATATATATATATATATTTATATACACTATATTGGCAAAAGTATTGGGACATCCCTCCAAATCATTGGATTCAAGTGTTCCAATCACCTCCATGGCAACAGCTATATAAACCAAGCACCCAGCCTGCTTCTACAAACATTTGTGAAAGGATTGGTCGCTCTCAGTAGTTCAATTAATTCAAGCGTGCTACCGTGATAGGTTGCCATCTGTGCAGTAAGTCCATCCGTGAAATTGCCTTACTACTAAATATTCCACGATCAACTGTTAATGGTATTATAACAAAGTGGAAGCAGCTGGAAACAACAGCAAATCAGCTACGAAGCAGTAGGCCACGTAAAATGACAGAGCGGGGGCACCGCCTGCTGAAGCACACAGTGCGCAGAAGTCGCCAGCTGTCTGCAGAGTCAATAGCTAAAGATCTCCAAACTTCATGTGGCCTTCAGATTAGCACAACATTAGTGTGTAGAGAGCTTCATGGAATGGGTTTCCATGGCCGAACAGCTGCATACAAGCCCTATGTCACCAAGTGCAATGCACAGCGTGGGATGGAGTGGTATAAAGCATGCCACCACTGGACTCTAGAGTAGTATAGACATGTTCTCTGGTGTGACGAATCACGCTTCTCTGTCTGGCAATCCAATGGACATGTCTGGGTTTGGCAGTTGCCACGAGAACGGTAGTTGCCTGACTGCATTGTGCCAAGTGTAAAGTTTGGTGGGGGGGGGGGGGGGACTATGGTGTGGGGTTGTATTTCAGGGGTTGGGCTTGGTCCCTTAGTTCCAGTGAAGGGAACTCTTGAGGTGTCAGCATACCAAGACATTTTGGACAATTTCATGCTCCCAACTTTGTGCGAACAGTTTGGGGTGGCTCCTTTCTATTCCAACATGACTGCACACCAGTGCACAAAGCAAGGTCCATAGAGACATGGATGAGCAAGTTTGGCGTGGAGAAACTTGACTGGCCTGCACAGAGTCCTGACCTCAACGTGATATAACACCTTTGGGATTAACCTCCCTTGAGGTATTCCCGAGTGTAGCTCGGGGTAAAGTTTCAGCACCACAAGCGGTAACCCTGAGCTACACTCGGGAATACCTTGCGGCGTTGCTCCGGGATCTCTTCTTCACTTACCTTGTCCTGTGCTCCCGCGATGTCCCTAATGCAGTGTCCCCCGCATTGTCCTCCGGCCGATGCCGGCATCTGTCTTCCGGGGTCCGTTCCCTGCGACGTCGGGACGTACGGGAACAGAACGGCGGGAAATTTAAAAATGTCAAAAAGTGACATTCACTAAATACACTAAAATCACATAGTAAAACATTACTGTATCAAACCATTTCACATACATTTTGTCCCTAGTGCTTTGTCCTGTGCCCTGCTGCATTTTTATCGTTCTTTCTGCCTGAAAACTTAGAAAAGTCCATGGAGTCCAAAAAAGCGGCCCTTTAGGTCAAAAGCAGTTTTAGTCGAGCTAGAGAACAGCGATAGTAAATTAGAACCACTTGCAGGATTGAGTGATAATGATTCGTGGGGAAATTCATCATCAGACACTGAAAACGATTTTGCAACTTTGCTCAGTGATGTGCGAACTTGGCACTATATTTCGAATTTCAGTGTTTTTTGGTTTGATTATATTATTGAATTAAATTTATTATTATATTATTATTATTTTTTATGATTATGTCAGTATTTCTGTGCTCAAAGCGGTACATTGTTTTCAATGGAAATATGTTGTTTTTTATTGTAGGCTTGTAATTCTTATGAAAAACTCACTGAAATCTGTCTGAACAAGAGTCTAGTAAACATCCCGGGTATGGTAAAATTTGAAACACGAAATCATAAATTATAATATAATAAATAATCATTAAAAAAAAATAATAATAAAAATAATAAATTTAATTCAATAATATAATCAAACCAAAAACACTGAATTTTGAAATATAGCACCAAGTTCGCACATCACTGAGCAAAGTCGCAAAATCGTTTTCAGTGTCTGATGACGAATGTTTAGCTCATTACATGAAAGTAAGGTTAATAATATAACTTAGATTACAAAATCCTCAGTTTTACTCAAATTAGTTGATGAAAAAATGATTACACCCCACAACAAAAACTACTACATCTAGTATTTTGTATGATCTCCATGTTTTTGTAAGGACAGCATCTAATCTTCTAGGTGTGGAATTAACAAGTTGGCGACATAGTGCAACATCTATTTTTTTTCCATTCTTCAAGAATGACCTCTTTCAGAGCCTGGATGCTGGATTGAGAATAATGCTCAACTTGTCTCTTCAGAATTCCCCATAGGTGTTCGATTGGGTTCAGATCAGGAGACATATTTGGCCACTGAATCACTTTCACCCTTTTGTTCTTCAGAAATGCAACAGTGGCCATAGATGTGTGTTTTGGATCGTCATGTTAGAATGATGACCAAGGGCACGGAGTGATGGAGCACCTTCTCTTTCAATATAGATCAGTACATCTGTAAATCATGATACCATCAATGAAATGCAGCTCCCCGGCACCCAACACAGCACTTATGCAGCCCGACAGAAGGACAGTGCCACCACTGCCACCTTCACTGTAGGCATCATGCATTTTTCTTTGTACTCCTCTCCTTTGTGAAGCCATACAGTTTTGAAACCATCAGTCCCAAAAACATGTATCTTGGTCTCATCACTCCAGATTTAAGAGTCCCAGTAGTCTTCTTCTTTTTTAGGTGGGCTTTTTTGTGCATGGGCTTTAGGAAAGGCTTCCTTTGTGGAGAACACCCATGCATGCCATTCTTCTGCAGTGTACACCGTATTGTGTCACAGGAAAAAAATCACCCCAGTTTGGCTTTTTCCTTATTTAGCTAACTGCAGTGAACTTGCATGTCGATTTCCTTCAACCCCCCCTTCTCATTAGAAGACGCTCCTTTCAAGGTGTTAACTTTCATGGACAGCTTGGACGGCTCTGTGAGATGGTTGCAATTCCATCTGTGTTATGTTTTTGTATCCCTTTCGCTACAATGTTCTGACTGATAAGTAAAGCTTTCCTGATCTTCCTGTAGCTTTCACCTTTGTTGTTTAAAGAAATTATTTTCTTACTCAGGCCTTGTGACATTTCTCTTCCATGTGGTGCCATTGCTGACACCATGACATGGGAAGGGGTTTTCTTTAACCACTTGCTACAGGGCACTTATACCCCCTTCCAGCCCAGGCCAATTTTCAGCTTTCAGTTCTGTCACTCTTTGACAATTGTGCGGTCATGCAACACTGTACCCATATTACATTTTTATAATTTTTTTGAGACAGATAGAGATTTCTTTTGGTGGTATTTAATCACCTCGGGGTTTTTTTTTTTTGCTAAACAAACCAAAAACAACTGAAAATTTTGAAAAAAATAGTTTTTTCTTAGTTTCTGTTATAAATTTTGTAAATAAGTGATTTTTCTCCTTCACTGATGTGCGCTAATGAGGCTGCAGTGATGGGCACTGATAGGCTGCACTGATGGGCATTGAGGAGGAGGCACTGGTAGGTGGCACTGATGGGCATTGACAGGTGTCACTGTTGGCCACTGAAAGGCACCACTCATATATGGCACTGATAGGCAGCACTAATAGGTGGCACTGACTGGCACTGATAGGCGGCACTGACCGGCACTGATAGGTGGCACTGACTGGTACTGTTAGGCAGCACTGATAGGCAGCACTGATGTTCACTGATAGGCAGCACTGACAGGCACTGATAGGCGGCACTGACTGGCACTGATAGGTGGGACTGACTGGCACTGATAGGTGGCACTGAAAGGCAGCTCAGATGGGCAGATGGGCACTGATATGTGACATTGATGTGTACTGGTAGGCACTGATATGTGGCATTGATGTGGCACTGATGGGCACTGGCAGGTGGCTTTGATGAGCACTGACAGCTGGCATTGATGGACACTGACAGGTGGGCACTGATGGGGCTACACTGATCATCAGAGCACACTGCTCATCAGTGCCCTGATGATCAGTGTACATGTCCCCTCTGAGGAAATGCCGATTTCCGGCTCTCCTCTCCTCACGAGTTGTCAGCAGGAATGCTGATAACTGGCATTTCCTTCTTTGCATGCGATCAGCTGTGATTGGACACAGCTGATCATATGACAGAGCCGACACTTTCTGTCCGAGGGACACAGCGCACCACCGATCACCGCACTGCCTCCCTCCGAAGCCACGCACGCGTGGTTAGAGTGGGAGGACATCATATGGACCTTATATGGTGGGCGGGAGGCGGTTAAGCAACGTCTTTTTATAATAGTCTGTTGGGCACCTGTTTAATCAATAATTAGACTCAACTGTAGTTGAATTCTTGTCAATTTGTATTTTGTCTAAAATTTAACTTTGCTCTTAAGACTTTCATTGGGGTGTATTAATTTTTGCAACATGGTCTTGAATGAATTTGTTAGGAAAAACACTTTTTTGTGTGTGCAAATTAACAAATCTTGTTTGTAATCAATGGCCCACATTTGTGGGAGAATTTTGTTGGGTAGTGTCTTATAGAAAATGTTGAATCTAAACGTAAAGTAAAGGTTTTCTGACAAATCTCTTGGGGTGTACTCATTTATGCTGAGCACTCTGCATATATATATATACAGTCTGGTCCATAAATATTGGGACATCAACACAATTCTAACATTTTTGGCTCTATACACCACCACAATGGATTTGAAACAAACAAGATGTGCTTTAACTGCAGACTGTCAGCTTTAATTTGAGGGTATTTGCATCCAAATCAGGTGAACGGTGTAGGAATTACAACAGTTTGCATATGTGCCTCCCACTTGTTAAGGGACCAAAAGTAATGGGACAGAATAATAATCATAAATCAAACTTTCACTTTTTAATACTTGGTTGCAAATCCTCTGCAGTCACTTACAGCCTGAAGTCTGGAACGCATAGACATCACCAGACGCTGGGTTTCATCCCTGGTGATGCTCTGCCAGGCCTCTACTGCAACTGTCTTCAGTTCCTGCTTGTTCTTTGGGCATTTTCCCTTCAGTTTTGTCTTCAGTAAGTGAAATGCATGCTCAATCGGATTCAGGTCAGGTGATTGACTTGGCCATTGCATAACATTCCACTTCTTTCCCTTAAAAAACTCTTTGGTTGCTTTTGCAGTATGCTTTGGCTCATTGTCCATCTGCACTGTGAAGCGGCATCCAATGAGTTCTGAAGCATTTGGCTGAATATGAACAGATAATATTGCCCGAAACACTTCAGAATTCATCCTGCTGCTTTTGTCATCAGTCACATCATCAATAAAAACAAGAGAACCAGTTCCATTGGCAGCCATACATGCCCATGCCATGACACTACCACCACCATGCTTCACTGATGAGGTGGTATGCTTAGGATCATGAGCAGTTCCTTTCCTTCTCCATACTCTTCTCTTCCCATCACTCTGGTACAAGTTGATCTTGGTCTGATCTGTCCATAGGATGTTGTTTTCAGAACTGTGAAGGCTTTTTTAGATGTCGTTTGGCAAACTCTAATCTGGCCTTCCTGTTTTTGAGGCTCACCAACAGTTTACATCCAATATTTATGGACCTGACTGTATATATATATATATTTACAGTTAGGTCCATATATATTTGGACACAGGCACAATTTTAGTTTGTTTTTCAGGTATTTACCAAAACATTTTCAAGCTATAGTTATATAATTGATACGGGCTGAAAGTGCACACTCTCAGGTTTAATTTGAGGATATACAGTCTGGTCCATAAATATTGGGACATCGACACACTTCTAACATTTTTGGCTCTATACACCACCACAATGGATTTGAAATGAAACAAACAAGATATGCTTTAACTGCAGACTGTCAGCTTTAATTTGAGGGTATTTACATCCAAATCAGGTGAACGGTGTAGGAATTACAACAGTTTGCATATGTGCGTCCCACCTGTTAAGGGACCAAAAGTAATAGGACAATTGGCTTCTCAGCTGTTCCATGGCCAGGTGTGTGTTATTCCCTCATTATCCCAATTACAATGAGCAGATAAAACTACTTAACTCCAAGTCTTTTTACAAAACTAAAGGGGACTGGTAAGCATATTTTCTTGCAGAAGAGGAACTATGTGGCCTAGCAAACCCATTTGTACACAGTTACCAGGATCTTGCAGTAAAGCAATACTCACGAGGCCAGGGGAGCAGCTGTGCTCCTCCAGCTTCCTCCAGGTGCCTTCCAGTGAGGCTATGTTGACTGGATCCTCAGATGAAATCTTGGAGCATCAGAGAAACTTTCTGGTGTAGGCCCCCTAGCTCTACCACTGCCAGAACACTGATGAATTGCAACTTGAAACTTCAGAATGGCTTGGGGTAGGGGATGGCAACAGGTGGCATCCCTTCAATGGGAAGATACTACTGTTCTAAAGCTCGCACTATTTATGTGCTCATCAGCCACCTTCTGGGCACACTTCCCTGGAATTGGCAGCAGCACAATAAATATACATGCTGCCCATTTTCCGTGCTCCACTCATGTTCCAGGACTTTCTAAAGGCAGGGAAAGTAATCAAAACTGCTGCCTGTGAAATCCAGAACAACCAAAAGAAGTTAACAGTTGCTCCAATGATTACAGAGTAGCCAAAAAGAACTAGATTTACTTAACATCCCAGCAGCCTAACTAGGAGGGTACTACACATGTATGTAAATTTATGTGACCTGCTGCAGCAATTTTTATGTGGATGGTGAAAGGTAATTTGCCGCACCGAAAGGGATTTCCTTTTTTATTTGCGCAATGTCTTCAATAAATAATTAAAAAAATTATAGCAAAACTCACCTGTGCAATAATGCACCAATGTGCACAGATGTTCACTACACTTAATGTCTTTCATGCATTAATGCGTGCTGCCAGTACAGACAAAATTAATAAGCAGCCTTAATGCAGCATGGCTCAGCACAAAAAACTGAGTGTGTTAACTCGGCACATAGTGTGAATGGACCCTAACACACATTGGCAAGATTTTTTAGAGTAAGCTTATCAATGTACAGACAGCTCTGTGTACTTTCCACAGATTTTACACAAAAGCATGTGGGCACTGTGCCCATGTATTTTCCCTTATTTCTGCAGTGAATGGATTCTGTGGAGTACTGTACGTCTTACAGGTAAAATCCAATTTGATTACGATTGAGTGGATTGTACTGAAATAATCTAGATATCGGAACTATCATCCGTTTCTGCCAAAATTGACTAAATTAGCCTATGTTGATTTAAGTTTGTAAACACTAAGGCCTCCTTCACACCTATGCATGTGCATTATTTTGTGTTTATAGTGCCCATTGTCCTACTGAATGTACCATGGTTATCATTAGACATTGCAGTACCATTTAAAAAAATTCACCTTTTTATGTTCCTTTAAAACAGGGGTGCTCAACCTTTTGAAGAGTGAGGGCCACTTAAGAGATTTGGTAACCAGTCATGGGCCACAATGAAATGACATGGTTCAGAATTTTCGAATTTTATTTTGAATATCATAATGAACATTTTCCTCCTTCAGCTGCTGAATGTCAGCAGGAGGGAGAGGAGGAGAATCCAGCTTTCAGTGGTTGCAGGAGGAAAATGACAAGGATCACTTCATGTATATGCCACCCCCAAAGCCCCTCCTGTCCAAGTGTAAGACAGAATGTGACATGGAGGCTGTATGGGCCCCCCTGGAGCATGGGGTAGATTTGCCATTGCGACCTCTGATGCTACACCAGTTGTTGGTGGGGGGGCTATATTGCAAAAACAAGTTTCAACTATGAGTTTTACCCCCACCCCTCCCAACCGCAAATGTAAATGCGCCTTTACTGTCCTGAGCCCCCTATAAAATTGCTTTCACACTGATACTCTGCTGTTTACCCACACCATGGGTGCAGAGCAGTGCACCTGTAGCTTTCCTGCGCATTGGCTGCGCTTTGCCATAGACTTTAATGTATCTTGTAGGTGTGGTGCATTCAGGAGTTTTGGTGCACTGTCAGAAAGCACACCAAGCCTGCAGGATATAATAGAAGCCTATGAGTCAGTGCAGCTAACCCGCAGGAAATGTGCAGGTGCACTACACTTCACCCACAGATCAGTGTGGGCTAATAGTTGTTAACCCTTTTGTAGGTGCAACTATGCCCATCGCAAAAGCGCAGTGTATGTGCTATGTAATACTCTGATTTTCTTTACCTCTTCCAACTTCTGCTGGCATTGCTCTCCTGGCTGTTAGAAAGGTTCTGGGCAAAGTGCATTTGATATCACTTTACTGTTTATCGGCCTCAGTTTATGCGGCTCCTACTCCCTCCGCAGCTGCCTGCTTCCTCTACTGCCAGCGCCAACTCGATACACTGATGCTCTGGGATGGCAAGTTCAGATTGCGATCAATGTGTTGCCGACCCCGGTCATGCAATTCCCTGATTTGAGGTCAAGGGTCAGATCAGAGAGCCCTGAGGTGGGTTGTTTGTTGATTTATGCTCTCAGCTCATTAGCTTGTACACAATAATTGAAGGGTGTGTGAGGCCTTGTTTGAAATGCCAGGGCTATGATGGTCTGTTTGGAGAGTAAATGTGGACATAGAAATTCACCGGTGATATTTACCAACAATCTTAGCAAAACTGTAGATAAGGACTTAAGCTGGTCATAGACATTGAATTTCAATGAATTTCTGCTCTGTCGGTCAGAATTTGAACCCTGGTAGCACCACCCAACTGGACAAATATCAGCTGAGCCAGGTGAAAACTTATCAGCTCAATAGTGACTGCACCCTATCAGATGCAGTCACAGTTGGGATTCAGGCAGTCACGAGTGACACAGGTGGCAGTGGAGAGTTTTAGCTTTGATTGGGGGAATCAACCAAATCATGTATGGCTAGCCTTAGACCTCCCACAGCCCTTGGCTTTCTTTCTTTCTATAACTGAACTGAGAACTGCCAAAAAAGAGAACAATTGCTCTTCAGTTAGTTGAGTGCTTTCCTGGAGAACCTGTTTAGCTCTTATCACAGGGAAATAAGTGTCTTTGGAGACTGGATACCCAGTATTGGGTATTTTTTTTGATTGCTCCCCCTGGTCTTCGTAAAGGAGTCTTGGGAATCCCAAGTCCAAAAACTGCCAAGTGGCATAGCATACTAAATATATGGCATACAAGATGGATGTATTTATACTAATTCTTATCCAATCCATTATGTGTCCAACAACAGAGTTGTTTTTTCTTGTCCTGTTACTTAATAATATGTCAGAGAGCAATAAGCAAGTGTGTGGAGGATGACTAAAGCCTTGCAGGAGGTCATGGTGTTGCCTGTGGCTATAGGCAAGCTGATAATTTGTTACACTAACAACTTTAAAATCGTGAGATGGGTCACCCAAAGGCCCCAGGCCTTGTCATTTTGCAGCGTGCTCTTACCTCCCTCGTAGAGTGTCAAAAGAAAATAACATGTTACCATACTAGTCATTTAAACCTTTTCTTTGCTTGCTTTTTGCAGCCGCTGACTTGTCCAATACTATAAATAAGATTTGAAAGAGCAATCAGTGATCTGCGGGGGGCTTCCACAATAGATGGCATCATACAGTTAAATTATAGACCACATACAAACTAAATGTTGCGATTGTTTGGAAAACTGTGGTCACCATTAAGACGTGTTTTCTATATAATGCGTGGGTGTGACATCATGTGGGTGAAATTCACCTGCATCTGTGGTAATACTGTGTACTGCAGCTTCCAAAACATGATTCACACATTTATTTTTGTACAGCGCTCTATATGCCCAGATTTATTAAATGCTTTACTCAGAAACATAGAATTTAGCTAATTCCCAGCTGCTTTTAATTTCTTCTAACAAGCTGACTTCTTAAAATGGTCTTGTATCGTGCATTTGTAAACCATATTTACAGTGACTGTGAAGGAAGAGATTGCATCTATTCAGGATTGTTGCATTCACCCCAGGAGAGTAAATTTCTACCTCAAATTTGTGGACTGGCCACATAAACCTGGGTCTTGGCTGATAAAACCACTCATTGAGCTCAGGCCTGCAATAGACCATCACATTGCCCTTGCCATACCCTGTTGTATACGCTCTATCCCTTTTGTCAGGCAATTATTTGAATGGTAGACTATGCCATTGAGGTAGTCTGTTACCTCTTTGCAGCAAGGGCCAGTAATTAGAAGGTGGCTGCTGGCCATGGAGGTGCGTGTAACCCCCCCCCCCCCCCATGGTGCAATGCTAGCGTCCAATCTCTAGGTCTGGACACAGCCACATAGATGTCACCATTCTGTAGTGGTAACAGAGGAAGATGCGGTGGGGGCTCTGGAGAGATGGTATGAAGTGGTCAGAGGGAATAGACAAGGTGACTGTGCCTTTTCTAACGCACACACAGGGAATAATAATTTATTAGATTCTTAGTTTGATATGTAGTTCTCTTCACTTTTTAGTAAGAGAAGCCTGAAGTATAAAACTGATATATTCTATCTCTTGCAGTTGAAAAATATCTCTAATTTGTAATGTCTGGCGAACATCTAAGTGACTTATGTTGTTCTGCATCACCAGCCGGCCCCTGCCAGCTGAGAAATACGAGACATTTACTTTTTGGTTGGCAGAGACATTTTTCTTCATAAAGTAGTAACTGAAGTGATGGTGGTGTTGTCCCATGCACAATTCATGACAAAAATATGTATTATTATAATACGTACTACTACAGAACTAGTTCAACTCCTGCCACTGTCCAAAACTCGGAACTTTCCTTTTTTTTATAAGATATTTTTATTGAAGTTTAACCATACAAAACATACCCCAAAAAAAAGAGTACAACAGAGAGGCAGCAATGAGCCCAAAAAGAAAGAAAAGGAAAAAAAAAAAACAAAACCATTTAATGTCTTTTACAGTCAGACAGAAATGTACAAAACAGTAGCAGCAACAACATAAAGCTGGTGCAACAGGTAGCAACCAATAAGACATAGAAGATATAGGGCACAAATCAAAGTAACAGTAATGTAATTACGTTACCTAAAGCAGATTGCCATTTTGGGAAGACCCAGTCGGTGCAGCCTAACCAGAGTGAAATAGCTACAGTATGATAAAAGAACTTCAGTTGGATCTTTTTATTTTTTGGAAGAAATAACAGATTTCCTGTAAATGTGTTCAAATTCTTGCAATCTTGCTCATCAAAGGGGAGGTCTGGTGAGATCCATTTCAACTGAGCTTGAGAGTATCTGGGCCGGGACAATGCAAAGAGGGATAGGTAATAGAAGAAGCGTAGAAGATGGAAAGGTCTAGAAGTGACAGAATTGTTAACTTAGTAAACAGATGTTGTGTTTTTTACACACAGGATGGATAGACATTCCTAGGTTTCAGGACCTAAAAGCAGAAATTCACCCTAAAAGTGAAGTCTTGGATTCCCCCCTCCTCTTCTGCTTTTTTTTTGGGGGGGGGGTACCTAGTTTTTACAGGTACCCACTCCCACCACGACTGCCTAGGAGATCACAGCGGAAGTTCTTCCCCCCCCCATCTGCAACTTTCTGGGACACGTAACAGGTCGCAGGAGGCCGTGGGACCATTCACAAAGCGCAGCCCAGCTCTTGCATGTGCAGAGGAAAGTGTGACTATTTGTAGTTTCACAGCTGGCTTCCCTTTGTAAACATGCCAGCACCAACCAGCAAAGAACTGGCCTGGATGAAGGCTGCGCTGCTTCCTTGGACAAGTAAGTGTCCTATTTTCAAAAGTCAGCAGCTACAGTATTTCTAGCTGCTGTTTTGACAATATAATACATTTGATACAGAATAAGTTTGCAGTAGCTTGTTTCATATTATTAGGTCTTGAAAAGACATTACCTGGTATATCAGGGTTATAATGCAATTTTGTGGATAATATTTACAGAAATATAGCATTAAAAGGAAACTTGTAGTGGGAGAATATAGATGTTGCCATTGGTAAATTATTCTTCTAAAATTTCTAGTTGTCTGGCTTGTATGCTGGTGCAGTAGCTCCAATACTTTCTGCGTCCCTGACATAGAACTATGCAGGTTGGAAGGTCCTGATGCAGTTTTACTAATGTGAATGCCTTTTCCAGGTTAGTGACTAAAGTAGCAAAGACAGAACACACACAGTCATAGCACACAAACAGAAAAAGTGACAAGAATACACAGTCAGAGTACACATTAGGGCCATATGCAGTAAGAGTACATACATCATAGCAAGAAAGACATCATAACAACAAACACATAGCACAAATATATAACAGCACAGCTTTAAGCACCTGGTAGACATTAGACTGTTTTTGTCAAGTCCTACAAAGTGACAGCCGGAGTCTGAGTGATACTCTTCAGAGCTCAGCAGATACATATTACCAGCTGATCTATAAAGAAATGTCTCCGGGTTGTAGGGATTTATTATCAAAAAGCCAACATCCACAGCAGTCGTTCTTTGAAATAACCTTTATTCAAATCATCAACGGGATAAAATCAGATCTTAGTTTGTACATTTTAGCTGTTGCTGGCCTTAGTCCTAACTGCAATGACAAAGGCCAGGAACGTCAGAAACATGAAAGCTAAGATCTGATTTTATCCTCTGCATTAGTTTTAATAAAGGTTATTTCCAAGAATGGCTGCTGTGGGTGCTGGCGTTTCGATGTTGGAAGTTCTGGATTTACTTGGTGTTATGTACCCTTCAATAATATGGATTGAGTGGGTTACCCTTTGTTTTCCTGGGGTTTGGATTTTATGGCTGATATCTAGAGATCAATACATGGCCAAGGGCCTATTTATTTCTCTTCTAAAATAGATTGTACAGTGGTTGTATTGTTAAGCAGCTCTTTGACTCAGTTAATTAGGTTGACCATACACTGGCAGATTTCATGTTCAGACTAATGGGGAAAGGGTCTGTCTTTAAATGGACTGCGTATCCCTGGGACCTGCTATCATTTTTCTCCCTTCCTCGACTGAAATATACACTATATTGCCAAAAGTATTGGGACACCCCTCCAAATCATTGGATTCGGGTGTTCCAATCACCTCCATGGCCACAGGTGTATAAAATCAAGCACCTAGGCATGCAGACTGCTTCTACAAACATTTGTTAAAGAATGGGTTGCTCTCAGGAGCTCAGTGAATTCAAGCATGGTACCGTGATAGGTTGCTGCCTGTGCAATAAGTCCATCCATGAAAATTCCTTGCTACTAAATATTCCACAGTCAACTGTTAGTGGTATTATAGCAAAGTGGAAGCAACTGGGAACAACAGCAACTCAGCCATGAAGTGGTAGGCCACGTAAAATGACAGAGCGGAGTCAGCACATGCTGAAGCACAAAGTGCGCAGAAGTCACCAACTGTCTACAAAGTCAATAGCTAAAAACCTTCAAACTCTGCGTGGCCTTCAGATTGGCACAACTGTGCATAGAGAGCTTCATGGAATGGGTTTCCATGACCAAGCAGCTGCATCCAAGCCTTGCATCACCAAGTGCAATGCAAAGCGTCGGATGCAGTGATGTAAAGCACGCTGCCACTGGACTATAGAGCAGTGTAGATGTGTTCTCCAGAGTGACCATTTACGCTTCTCTGTCTGGTAATCCGATGGACGTGTCTGGGTTTGGTAGTTGCCAGGAGAACGGTACTTACTTGACTTCATTGTGCGAAGTGTAAATTTTGGTGGAGGGGGGATTATGGTGTGGGGTTGTTCTTCAGGGGTTGGGCCTGGTCCCTTAGTTCCAGTGAAGGGAACTCTTAAGGCGTTGGCATACCAAAACATTTTGGACAATTTCATGCTCCCAACTTTGTGGGAACAGTTTGGGGATGGCCCCTTCCTATTCTATCATGACTGCGCACAAGTGCACAAAGCAAGGTCCATAAAGACATGAATGAGCAAGTTTGGGGTGGAGGAACTTGACTAGCCTGCACAGATTTCTGACCTCAACCCGATGGAACACCTTTGGGATGACTTAGAGCAGAGACTGCGAGCCAGGCCTTCTCGTCCGACATCAGTGCCTGACCACACAAATCCGCTTCTGGAAGAATGGACAAACATTCCCATAGACACACTCCTAAACCTTGTGGACAGCCTTCCCAGAAGAGTTGAAGCTGTTATAGTTGCAAAGGGTGGGCCAACTCAATATTGAACCCTATCAACTAAGATTAGGATGCCATTAAATTTGATGTGCATGTAAAGGCAGGTGTCCCAGTACTTTTGGCAATATAGTGTAGATATGACACATATGTAGTGAATATGGAGTATATGGAGATAGGAAATTAATAATTGTTTCAGGACATGTTAGGAAATGAATGCATGTGACAAAGAGCAGTTTTATTTCACTTCATTACTGTGTGGTTAATTTGTACAAGGTACAGTTATTTCACACTTGGTTCTGCTACTTTATGCACAATACTGCTTGCTGTGGGATCCTTCCATCTATCCTTCTGACAAGATCTCAGGGAATGCCGAGTACCTCAAATCTTGCAAGAAGATTCTCCTCCACTGTGCTGGACTGTCCTCTTGAGAGATTCAGGTTACTCCACATTCTCCAGGATCTTGCTGGAAGGCACCCTGATATATCAATGCATACTTTGAATTTTACTGCATGGTCCGCTTATTGAACCAGCTTTATGATCTTTTTGCTATTAATATATTCCTACTACTGGTCAGGTGACAAACCTAATTAGGATACGTATTGGGAATATTAGGTATCAAAGCTGGCCATACACTAGTAGAATTTCTGAAAACTTTGATTTAAAGAATGTTCATTCACTTTTCTAATCATTAGTATGGTCAGATTGAGGAAGGAACAGAATGGAATTTTTTTTATAATTTATATTGCAGTCACAAGGAATGTAAACATCCTTTGTGACAACAATCAGCAGCAACAGGTCCTCCTCACTGAGAAATCTGGGGTCTATTAGATCCCAAATGTCTCCTCTGACTTTGACAGCATCAGATCAAACCAAGATCAGTCTGATCCCATGCTTGTACAAGCTAGCAATAGCTTGTAAACAAAACACTGAAACTGGAATTGACATATACAGGCTGCTTCTGGTTTCTAAAACCACAAAGATGATTGGAAACAATCAGGTCTCTAAACACCTCTATGGTAAGCTGGTGCAACCATCAGCTGAACACTCGGGTCTCCTGGTGGGGTAAGAGAGCCAGAGAGAGCCACGGAAGGTGGCTACTTAGCCGCTAGGATGGCTTTTATATTTTAGGGAATCACTGACTGAAAACAACATTACAGGGATGATGCCTGTAGCTGCAGGCATCTTCCTGGGAAAAACCTAGTCAACTAGAGGACGGGTATGTCCTTTTGGGGAAGGAGTTTAGAACATTTGTTTAATCTTCTAATTGTTAGTGGGGTCAAATCAACATTTGTTTTCAACCACAGTGACAAGAAAATTCAAAGGAACAGGATGGAGGGTTTTTCTCAAATAAATTAGGGGCATGTGCAATAAGAGCATATACTAGTAGAATTTCTGAAAACTTTAGTTTTAAGAATGTTCATTCAATTTGCTAATCATTAGTGGGGTCAGACTGAGAAAGAAGCAGAATGGAATGTAAAAGTAGTATACCATTAGATTTGTGATGTAATGCTGGCCAAACATGTATAGATTTTTGTTTGGAGATTTTCACATTAACCTATTGCTTCCAAGCCTATTCTGACATTTCTTTCAGTGTATGTGGCTTTCATTCAGGAATTGCATTCATTTTAAAACTGAATATTAAAAGCAAGTGAAAATTTTAAAAGGCATTCGTGCATTCATCAAATGTACAAACATTTGCATATGAATGTTTGTACAAATATTCTCGTTAAAAAAACCTACTAGTGTATGGCCACATAAGCTGTTCTCAACTGAAAAATGCAGGTGGCATGTACAAGCATCAAAGGAGTTTTCTTCTTATTTTTTTTTAGTAGCAACCTTAGCTTATCTGTGACATTTAGTGTCTTTTTAATATTTGTCTTGGCTAGGCAATGTGAACAGAAACCAGTCTAGACCTGAATTAAATCTCTACAATTTTAATACTTTGTCTGGTGGGTTGAAAAGGGTGAAAATACATTTCCAGATGCCATTTCACAATACAATCAATATTTTTTGTCTTTAACTTACACGGTAAATAACAGCGTATTGACTCTTTGGAAAATGCAGCGTGTTTTAGCTTTTGTTAAAAATCAATCTGATTAATGGTTAATCTGTACTGAAATAGTTGTTATTGTTCACTAAAATCCTGCAAAACCATCTTTGTGTAGTTTGGCTTATTTTTCACAATAAATGATGTCAATGAAAAGCAAGCTGTTCTCTTAAAAGGTACTAATTTAATTTGGGTGAGGTGTGGGCAAACAGCAGCAATTTTGGAACAATGAGTTGTCAGTGTGCTCTTGCTTAGACCTTTTTCACACTGGTGTGCTTTTACCAGGGCGACAAAAATGCATGAAAACTATACCCCATTAAATCCTATGTAACTGTGCATATACTGCAGGTGCGCTGCACTTTGAAAAATCATGCATGCTTCATCTTTGGTGCAGTTTTTCAAAAACACACAAAAAAGGCACCTTCTGTTATAAGTCAATGGGGATGTAACAAAAGTGCATTAGTGTGAAAGGACCATAAACAGCACATAAGCACATGAAAAATGTATCATAATCACATTAGTGTAAAGGGTCCTTATGGTCTGACTAAAGATGTACTCGGCCCATTCTTTTTCTTAAAGCACAACATTACCCATAACAACTTGATATACAGGTGAAACTCAAAAAATTAGAATATCATGCAAAAGTTCATTTATTTCAGTATGCAACTTAAAAGGTGAAACTAATATATGAGATAGACTCATTACATGCAAAGCAAGATAGTTCAAGCCATGATTTGTCATAATTGTGATGATTATGGCTTACAGCTCATGAAAACCCCAAATCCACAATCTCAGAAAATTAGAATATTGTGAAAAGGTGCAATATTCTAGGCTCAAAGTGTCCCACTCTAATCAGCTAATTAAGCCATAACACCTGCAAAGGGTTCCTGAGCCTTTAAATGGTCTCTCAATCTGGTTCAGTAGGAATCACAATCATGGGAAAGACTGCTGACCTGACAGTTGTGCAGAAAACCATCATTGACACCCTCCATAAGGAGGGAAAGCCTCAAAAGGTAATTGCAAAAGAAGTTGGATGTTCCCAAAGTGTTGTATCAAAGCACATTAATAGAAAGTTATGTAGAAGGGAAAAGTGTGGAAGAAAAAGGTGCACAAGCAGCAGGGATGACCGCAGCCTGGAAAAGATTCTCAGGAAAAGGCCATTCAAAAGTGTTGGGGACTTTCACAAGGAGTGGACTGAGGCTGGAATCAGTGCATCAAGAGCCACCACACACAGACGGATCCTGGACATGGGCTTCAAATGTCGTATTCCTCTTGTCAAGCTGCTCCTGAACAACAAACAACATCAGAAGCATCTTACCTGGGCTAAAGAAAAACAGACCTGGTCTGTTGCTCAGTGGTCCAAAGTCCTCTTTTCTGATGAGAGCAATTTTTGCATCTCATTTGGAAACCAAAGACCCAGAGTATGGAGGAAGAATGGAGAGGCACACACTGCAAGATGCTTGAAGTCCAATGTGAAGTTTCCACAGTCTGTGTTGATTTGGGGAGCCATGTCATCTGCTGGTGTTGCTCCACTGTGCTTCATTAAGTCCAGGGTCAATGCAGCCGTCTACCAGGAGATTTTGGAGCACTTCATGCTTCCTTCCTCAGACGAGCTTTATGGGGATGCTGACTTCATTTTCCAGCAGGACTTGACACCTGCCCACACTGCCAAAAACACCAAAACCTGGTTCAATGACCATGGGATTACTGTGCTTGATTGGCCAGAAAACTCGCCTGACCTGAACCCCATAGAGAATCTATGGGGCATTGCCAAGAGAAAGATGAGAGACATGAGACCAGACAATGCAGAAGAGCTGAAGGCCGCTATTGAAGCATCCTGGTCTTCCATAACACCTCAGCAGGGCCACAGGCTGATAGCTTCCATGCCACGCCGCATTGAGGCAGTAATTGCTGCAAAAGGGGCCCAAACCAAGTACTGAGTACATATGCATGCTTATACTTTTCAGAGGTCCGATATTGTTCTATGTACAATCCTTGTTTTATTGATTGCATGTAATATTCTAATTTTCTGAGATTGTGGATTTGGGGTTTTCATGAGCTGTAAGCCATAATAATCACAATTATGACAAATCACGGCTTGAACTATCTTGCTTTGCATGTAATGAGTCTATCTCATATATTATTTCACCTTTTAAGTTGCATTACTGAAATAAATGAACTTTTGTACAATATTCAAATTTTTCGAGTTTCACCTGTATAATAATGTTCTTTAGCAAGGAACATACATTCCACATTAATAATTATGCTACCAAAATTAGTGTGTGTTGTAAATTGCCTCCAGCATTGTTCTGCTTCTTTTTTCCGGAGGCTGCCATTTTTCTGAAGCCAAGAGCCCCTGAACAGTAGTAAATCTTCAGGCTGTCATTAGATCGACCTCTGTACATTCGGCACAGTGCCGAAAAATAGAGAGC